GAGGGAGGGCAGAGGCCTGTCGCCTCTGTCACGGACATAGATTGATCTAGTCAACTCCGTGAGATGTTCAAGACCTGCCTGGATGCCTACCTGTGCGACCTGCTGTAGGGAACCTGCTTTGGCAGGGGGGGTTGGACTCGATGATCTCTGGAGGTCCCTTCCAACCCCTACAATTCTGTGATTCTGTGTGATTCTGTGACAGAAGGGATGCCGTCCAGAGGGACCTGGATGGCCCTGAGAGCTGGGGCCTTGCAAATGCCACAAAGTTCAACAAGGCCAAGCACGAGGTCCTGCGTCTGGGCCAGGGCAATCACAAACATGAGTTCAGGCTGGGCAGTGAGTGGATGGAGAGCAGCACTGCGGAGGATTCGGGGGTACTGAATGGAAAGCTGATGTTGATGAAGCTGGACTTGCAGCCCAGAAGGCCAATTGTATCCTGAGCTGTGTCAAAGGATGCATGTACAGTAGGCTGAGGAAGGTGGTTCTCCCCTTCTCCACTCTCATGGGAGCCCACCTACATACTGCATTTGGATCCCGGGTCCCCAGCATAAGAGAGACAAATTTGTTTGAGCAGGCTCAGAGTGGCCACAAAGATGATCAGAAAGCTGGAGCCCTCTGATCTATGAAGACAGGCTGAGACCTAACAGTGGCCTTCCAGTATTTACAGGGGGCCTACAGGAAAGACCGGGAAAGATTCTTTATTGGAGTGCAGTGGTAAGGACATCAGGTCACGGTTTTAAGCTAAGAGAGGGTAGGTTGAGATTAGCAGTTAGGAAGACATTCTTTGTGTTGAGGGCTGTGAGGCACTGGAACGTGTTGCCCAGACTTGTGGATGCCGCATACCTGAAAGTGCTCAAGGCTGGCTGGGTCTTTAGGCAACCTGATCTCGTAGTACATGTCCTTGCCCATGGCAGGGGGATTGGAACAATGCAATCTTTAAGGTCATTTTATGAGTCAATGATTACATTTGTTCAGAAAGGGTCAAAGTTAATTTGCAGATGACACTCAAAATATCAGACTTACTCTGTTGCTAGAAAGAGACAAATTATTTACTTATCCCCAAGCTACACTATCCCTACCTCTTGCTACACTGCTTCCCTATAGGGGCTACAGAGTCACTACAATGTTTCCAACAAGCTTATATAAACATTAAAATATAGTACTGTTGGAGATAAAAGGTAAGGACTCTTGAGGATTAACAGTTGGTTCAAAGACACAAAAGAGAAGACAAAAATGGAAGGAAAAAGACAAAAGAAAGGATAAAAATTTCATTTTCAGAAAGAAAACAATATCAGAAAGAGGTAAGTACCATGGTTACATAAGTTAGCTCTTGACACCCAGAAATAATCACAGTAGACTATAAAACTAAGCTCTGTCTTACCAGACCTTTGTAGTAGTAATGCAATGGTCAGGAGAACTGAGTGGAAATGTGGAGAAGTAAAAAAAACATTGCTATGTTACTGTTCAAATGCGTGGTATGTTTAAATGTATGGCATATTCTCATGTTCAATAAGGGAAATGGATCTGGGCCTTGCCCTCTTCTCCTCTTACCATCATTCATTCTACCCCTCTACCCACAGAGGAAAAGAAACGCAGTTAAATATGGCAGAGGACTGAAGTTCTAGGTCTAGAAGTCACTGAAGTGTACATCCTCAGAAGCTAGAAAAGCAGAAAGCATGGGGAGTGGCAGATAGGGAAAAATATTTCTTTATTTTCCTTATATTTCTAATCCACAGATCACTAACATCTTCAAAAAACTGACAGTCAAGCTAAGCTATATTTGTTCTTTGATACATTAAAGAGATGTCAGGTCCTTGTTGCTCAACAGATGAATAAACACCTATTTCAGCTGATTGCACATATGCACATAAATCACTTCCCCAGTTTGCACCAATAACCTAAATCAACTCACTAAGTACAAAACCATAAATGAAATGTAGATCTATCAAAGCTACACACTACATGTAAAAGGAAAAAAAAAAACATTTAAAACAGCGTAAGGTACCAGAGGCTGTCTGTCAAGGCTGGTTGAGGACTTGAATCTTTGTCACGGCGGGTAAAAGCAATTGCACTGTACTTGAACACCATTGCTGAACTGCATCTGGCGTCTCAATCTGTATCACGGTAGCCTTCAGTGCATCATACTCTCCCCACAGATATATCTGCAAGGTCTTCCCCCACCACCTGTGTTGGTTCTTCAGCATTATGAGCATGTTGTAGTGCACAGACACAGCTAGCTTTATAACCACGCATCACAGCATTCAAGCTTTCCACTGACATTTCACATGAGTAGTTTGAACAGATATCATTCTCCCCTTTACTATGTTTAAACAAAACTTCTTTGTTCTGGTCCCTCTGCTTCTCTTGAAAAACACAAAGCCCTCTAAAGATTAATGATTTGGACAGCTGGAATCTATTATATACATGTTTAGTTCTGATATAGTCCTCTTCAGAATAAATAATTTAAGAAAAGATGGATTTTGTTATTTCAGATGTGTTTCCTTGAATCAAAGATCAGGTTACTAACATGTAATTAGCTGCCATTTTGGTTCTAAAAACTTAATGAAACTAGTACTGTATTTCATTTCTTTTTCATCACCAGATTAAGCAAGACCTGCTGCAATATAGGTAACATTTACCAAAAGAAAATCAAATCAGTGCAATGTTTATAATCTGCAAGACATCGCGTTTCTGTACCTCAGCAGTCAACCTACCCACAGAAAATAAGCCAGTTCTTACTGTAAAGTGTGCCTACAAATTCAAAGACTACTTGGGGCCACGAACTCCTTAACTCTAACCCTAAGTTCAGTAAGGTTCAAAGTATTCCTGACTATACCTCTAATGCCAACTCCTAAACGCTCTTCTGGATGTCAGCATATACTGAACATTGACATTTTTCCTTCTCTGTTGAAGGAAAGAAAGAAAGAACGGAAAAGTAAAAATCAGCTGAGCTAACTGTTGTTTTTAAAGCTTTCTACTACGAGACAATTTCACATCAGCCTCTCTTACATACTAAACCCCATGAGCTGAATTTTAGGTAAAGGCACAGGAAATGTCTAGGCAGTTTTATAAGACTAAAGCAGCATAAGAAAGATCCTGCAACATTTATCACTGACGTGCTGTTTTGCAAGTAGCAAACAGAGTTGGTTGGATGAAGAATCTCAGACTATACTGCAAAGCAGCATCAGTAAATTACGTCCTACTCAGTCACATTACCTCTCTTCTCTATCTGACTATTCATTACCCTAAACAGAAATAAATCCATCCTACCCATAAGCCAAATAACTTACCTCCGCTAATCACCTTTGAACAACAGCACTTCTCTAAAGGTGGCACATTTCATCACTGAAAACCCCGTGGTGGTTTAAATAACACAATTGCAACAATAGCATAGGCACAGACAGAGAGAGAGAAATAATTGCAGGAAGGAATGGGAATGAAGACCCAACCAAGAGAAACTGTTGATAACAGCAAGGTAGGTAAGAAAACACAAATCAGGCAAGATTGCTCAGGCCATTAGAAGAAAACAGAAGCAGTACTGAAAGAGATGTAGAACGACAGTGCATAAGAAAAGAGTTCAAGAAATAACTCGTCCCTGGACTTTCACGTGCTTCCAGACTGCAGTGTTTCCTCCCACTTCTCCTTCCTCAGACATTTCCTGGGAAAACAAAAAAACAAGCCCCCAACCCACATTTACAGCTTTAAGCCTCCCATTTCAGCACGCATCCTTCGCCAGCAACTTCTCCAAAGCCCGTCGGGGCTGCTCGTTAGGCAGCCTGGCCGACCCGGCAGCACTGCGGGGCGGGCGGCTCCCGGCACCACCGGGTCGAGCTGTGGATCGGCAGGGCGAAGGAAAGTGGAGGAGAGCGTTGGTCACACAGCGAACCCATACTCACGTATTCCTTCACGTTTTTCGTCTTCACGGCCTTGTAGGAGGAGTAAGCGGGGTAGAGCGTACCGAATATCAGCCTGCAAGAAGAACAAACCCCTCAGCACCTCGCGACTCCCTGCGTCCCGCACCGCCGTCGCCCCTGCCTGCCTCCACGGCCGGGAGCCCCCGGCGGCTCCCACTCCTCCGCGGCCGCCGCAGGAAAGGCTCGGCCGCCTCCACCGCAGCGGCGCCGCCCTTACAGGAGGCCGCCGCTCCAGGGCCGCGGAAGCCTGCGCAGAGCCGCCAGGACGCACCGCGGTCCCCCCCAGTTCTTCCCGGTTCTTCTCCGGGCTGCAATCCGCGGCACCGCCGCAGCTCCCGTTCCAGGCGGCGGCCGCGCCCGAAGCGGGGCACCCGGCCCTCGAACGCCCCGCGCATCCCTTCCTCCCAGACTGCGGTACTCACACCACGAGACGGGAGATGATCCAGGAGACCATGGCGGCGCCGGGCAGAGTCGGGCGGCGACGCACGGCTCCGCGGCGGCGGGAGGCGGCTCTTAAAGGGCGGGTCCCGCAGCGAGCACCGTGCAGCCCCGCCCCGGCCTCTTACAGGGGCGGAGTCGACGGGCCGCATCGCGCCCCCAACCTCCCCGCCCCGTTCGGGCGGTGCCCGCAGCCGTTCGCTCGAGGCGCGAGAACTGCGCGCTCCCTGGGGGCCGAGCGGCCTCTCCCGGGCGGAGAAAGGGCTGTAAAGAGATCCTGCCGGAAAGATGGTAGGCGAGTAACATGCACGATGTAAGAAAGGCTGCAGAAGAGGGAGCGATGACTTAAGGTGACAGATGCTTCAGGAGCAGCAGAAGAGACTACGGATAAAGCAGTCTTCCAAAGATAGAAGTTACCTGCTCTACAGGGTGCAACACAACAGCCAAAACGCTGCTAAAATCTAGATGACGTAAATTCAAAAATCTTTCCAAGGCTCCCACTTCCCGGGATGCGAAATTCAACTAGTTAACAGACACGAGTCAGTGTCATCAAACTAAGGGATGAAGGCTGGTTCCAGGATAACTCCACAGTGCCAGGTTCTCTTGCTCTTGAGAATCACTGTGAGGCCTAGAATTGCCCAGCTATCCAAATAAAGCTGTAGAGGAGGGGAGTAAATATTATCCATCTGCATATTTAGACACAGCAGCATACCAGAAAACACAGTAGCAAAGACTGTTTTAACAACTCAACCAAGAGTACTGTTCAGAGAATCCTTTCCTTCAGCCATTGCAAGAGTTAATTAACGGACTGCTTTGCACCCCCTAAGTAAACTAGAGACAAAGACTGATCAGGCTCTGCACACTGATCTTTGAATCATGTTAAGATGATCATCAGATAAGCCGTTTTTTAATTAAAAAAAAAAAAAAAAAAATTGCTAGAAAGCCTAATGTAACTTCTTACTACCAAAACATAAATAACAAAAAGAACCCAAACAACAAAAATATATTAAAAAAAAGGCAGCTACCATGGCAGAATCTCATTACTTGTGAAAATAGCCCTTCTGAAAAGGGAGTAAACCAAAGACCAACCAAAAACAATGAGTTGCTAGGGAATAATTTTCTCACGGATGCATGAACCTCAGCATAATGAGCAATGATGAAAAACACAAAACATCAGCAAATTTCCATTACATCTAAGACCTGAAAACAAAACTGTTGCTACAGACAGTGACAAAGAGCATTTTGTCACAGTCTGCTCGTGGATACAAATGGCCACAAAATGATTGCATAAGGGACTGCACAATTTACAATACTGGCAGCACAAATTACCTACAGATAGAATAAAAGGAATATGCTTTCACAAGTCCAAGCAACAAAACGTGCACTTCCCTCCTGAGAATGACTGTCTGTTTATTCCCACCAGTTTCCTATCAGCTTACAACAGCTCTGGTACCTGAACTATGTGTTCACATCTAAGTGAGCAAAAGATGCTGACAGAACAGGTAAAATTTGGAGACATCTTGGGTACAACGTATGAAGAGAATGCAGCATGAGTGAGCAGCAAACAAAGGAAGCGTGCCGTAGCGTTTTACATAGTTCAGTGCATCGAGGAACAGTCTGAACGTTTGCAGTGATATATTGACATAAACAACAAAATACAAACATCAATATTAATAAAGCAAGCAGACTTACAAACGTCATGAGTGCTCACCATTAAGTGGCAAACCGAGTTTAGAACAAGTTTAGCAGAAGCATTTTAAGACAGCAGCATATAGTTAGTAATAAGCTTTATTTCTTTCCAAAGAATGATAAATTAATCCATTAACTTACCTTCTAACAAGGAGAAGCTGTTAGTACTGAAAGGCTACTTTTGTAACAAAAGCTGGCTGCAAGACAAATGTAGTAAAGAGTACGATTTATTGCTAGTAGTATTTTATTGTTACTTACACAGCATAATGTTGTATAACTGAGACTGGAAGACTTATCTAAGAGCAGAAGAAAAGTTGTTTTCAAATTCAGGTTGTTTTTCTATCAGATATGCTACTGCTGGAGCAACTTGTGACAAATGTATTCTACAAATGCTTAAAATAGCTGATTACTGGCCATTATAGCCTGAACAATCAGGCAAAGAAATAAAACCCTCCCTGAGTAGAGAAACTTCAGCAAAACTACATTTAGACCGATGCCAGGTCAGATGTGGAGATCCTGCCAACTAGAGGTTCACGTAGAAGCTGCTGTAATTAAGAGAAATAACAATTACTCAGCATCAAGAACACAAGAGTGGCTTTGGATGAAACTTGCAGAATAATTATGGGCCTTAGTAAGAAATTCCTCTAAGATACACTGTCCACGGGTGTTTTCATACTGTGCTCCATTCACACGTGATGTAGCTCCACACACATTTTCCACCTAAGCAATACTTTTAAGATAGGCTAAAAGGCTGAGCAAGTCACTAGTACGTGTCGTGTACCTCAAGCACTAATTGTTAACTGCAAATGAGGAAAAAAAAGAGGGAAGTGCTATACACACAGGAGTAATACATTTTAAAGAATATTTGTGCATGATAAACTCTTTCATCTTACTCTTATTTCAGGTAAATCCAAATTACTGTTTGACACCCAACTTCTCCACTACAGTTCTGATTCCACATCCTCAGGTTCTAGAATAGATTACCTCAGAGCTGAGGATTAGCAAATGGGTCACAGCCATCAACATTTTAGTTACTTTTTTCCATATTTATTTTGCCTCAGAATACAGTTTATAAACAGAGAAAATATTAAGTTTTGCAAAGTCAACCTTTGCAGACTGTTGCATTTTTTAACCAATATCAAATAAGGAAGCTGTTGAGTTAGTAAGAGAGATCTTCAGACGGGAGATTTTTTTAATCTACGACCAGAAGAGATGCGTACATCCCACGTAACATTTTGAAGACTGAACCAGCCAAATGACAGCGCTGAGCATGCCCTCGCACGGGTAAACACACATCAAACCTTCTGCATTGTGAATGCATTCTAACTTCACGTGGGCAGGTATACAGCCATAAAAGCCTGTATCCCTGCTTCCAGTTGATTCCAGTATCACAGGATTCCAGCTAAAAAAACAAGCAGAATGTAAAGCCAATATTGAAAATACTGCCTGCCCACTGTCTTATGCAGCTCCATCCTGTAACAGAAAGTCAGCATTCAGTAGCATTTATGTCATGATTGCAGCAAACAATTTTAAGACTTGCAAATCAAAGTTTTTATTTCCCCTCTGCTAAAAAAATTCGTACCCTTTTATTTGATTATGATTCCATGTTTCACAGATGCTGCTTCTAAAAAAGATCATAAGCAGAAAACCATGAGATAGAACTGCTGTTTGCAGATCTTAAAACAACTTCATGATCACTTCAGTTTGCTAGTTTTGCTCTCTATATGAAGCAGTTACAGGAGATCACAGAATCACCGAATGGCTTCATTTGGAGGGGACCTTAAAAACCATTTCAACTCCCCTGCCACAGGCAGACTTGACAACCACCAGATCAAGCTGCCCAGGATCCCAACCTGGCCTTGAATACGCCTCCAAAGATGGAGCATCCACGCCTCTGCACAAACTGTTCCAGCACCTCACCACCCTCTCACTGAAAAATGTATTCCTAATACCTATCACCTAACCCCAATATCTATCCCTCTTTTAGTTAAAAGCTATTCTCCCTTGTCCTATCACTATCAGACAGTAATAAAAGTCGGTTCCCCTCCTGCTTGCAAACTCCCTTCAAGTACTAGAAGGCTACAATGGTATCTCCACGAAGCCTCTTCTCCAAACTAAATATGCCCATCTTCCTCTATCTTTCTCCACAGAAGAGCTCTTTGATGATCTCTGTAAGTCCTCTGCACTCAGTCCAGCAGATCTGCATCCTTTCTGTACTGGGGGCCCGAGGCTTGGGCACAGTATTCCAGATGGGGCCTCACAAGGGCAGAGCAGAGGGGGACTACCCAAACCCCAACCTCGTACAAAGATAACAAAGAGGCTGGGAGCACTGCACAACAGACGAGGTTTATGACGAAATAGATCCTCTTCCCAAACTACCTCTGAAGAAAAAAAGAATCTGCAGGCAGACTGGCACGCTCCCATCCACACATAAAATACTCAAGCCTTCTAGTCAGACACACAGCAAGAAGTTGTCAGGCAGTTTACGCTACTCAGAGGCAGAAGCTGAGATAACTTCACAGCAGGAATATCAGTGTCCAAGTCTGAAAGAAACTGTCCAGACTGTTACAGTAAATGACTTTTATTTAAAAAAAAATGAAATAACCGTGAACATATTAACAGGCCTGCAGGTGGCACTACAGTACAGCTGGATATAAGGTAGATATATTTCCCTATGTACCCAGACAATGAAATTCATTGCATCAATGCTGACATTAGTAAAATCTCAATACAGTTCTATCAAGCAGGAACATTTTACTTAAAATAGTTCTGGACAAAGTTGATACTCGAAGCACAACTTTTCCTTCACTTTCGAAAGGATAAATGTTTTCAGCTAGCACTGGTACTCGAAAAACTATTGCCTGTAGCTACCAGTGCAGGTAGAGATGTACAACATCTCTATGGGAGAATAGAGCTCCAACTCCTTTT